GTTTTCTGAATCTCTTGTTAACGTGATAATTCAAGAAGTAAGAGACACATGATTTTGAAACGGATAATGTTAGGTGCATCTACTAAAGATCACAAACAAGTTCAGTTCTCATAGACCTCAACCTCAAGGTCAAGATCAAAGGTCAGGTTTTCTGAATGTCTCGTGAATGCAATAACTTGAGAATGACGTGACGTAGGATTTCAAAATGATGCCATACCTTCTACCAGCTGCATCTACCAGAAGGCTGAGGATTACCACTGGCTACCAGCATCCCAACCTCGGATATTTACTTAATACAAAGACATTAATATTGATTTATTATAAATATCTTAATCTAAGAGCATTAAAGTGTATTTGAAAAGTATTTACATTTTTCTTAGCACATAGCTAATTTACCCTCTCTGCATCCAGGTGAGCAGGCTGCCGATTGCAGAAGTCATGGATACATGGACCAAACAGATGGGTTATCCTGTGCTGGACCTGTCTGTCTCTGATACAGATGCCAGACTGAGCCAGAAGCGTTTCCTCTTGGACCCCAACGCTGATACTAGCCAGCCTCCTTCAGATCTTGGGTATGAGCAAGAAAAAAATAACCATGACAGCGACCATTGATGGTCGCTGTCATGGTCCTCGGGTCATTGACCCATTTGTGTCTCAGTATTTGTCCTCGTTCTAGTGAGTATTTAGTTGCAGTTTGTTTAGTGGTGGTTTTAGTTGAAGTCTTATCTGTTTTGTGGCTCTTTGTGGATTTTATTCTTGAGAGTTTTAGTTTTTATTTTTAGTTTCTCGCGATCTGCAGGTTACTAAGGTAGTCATTAGCTTATGACTACCTTAGTACTCAGTTTTCCTCTTGCCCTCAGTGCTGTGTGCTCTACTGTGCCATGTTCTTTTCCTATCATCCGACTGACTTTGTTACTGGCTCCAGCTCTGTCTTTATTTGTATTTTGTGTTTCTGGAAAGAAATGCAGAATTTGCAGCTTTAACAATCTTCTGATATTTTGATAAGCAGTCATGTAGCCTTCCAAGTCCACCAAATCAGTGGTCCTCAACCCCTGGCCCACGGACCGGTACCAGTCCGTGAGTCGTTTGGTACCAGGCCGCAAGAGTTGAGGCTCGGGTGTGATATTTAGGGTTTTCAGGATTTTTATCGTTAACTCGGTTTCCCTGGGTCTTTTCCCGTGTTGTAGTTGTGTGTCTTATTTTGAAAGAAATATTTACACGTTACCATAGCGACCAGAGAGCATAAAGAGGCAGAGAGGAGGATGTTACTCTCAGTGTTGTTGGAGCGTATCATTTCATTTTGCTGTATTTATCCGCCACACCTTAAAGGCCATGAAAATATTGTCTGACATTAAACCGTCTGTGGTGAAAAAGGTTGGGGACCGCTGCACTAAATATCACAGCCCTCTTCCAAACTTTCTGACCTGGCTGGTAGTGAGGTGGTTCAGCATTGACCAGCTAGCTGCTTATTCTGCTCCACGGTGCCCAGCAAGGTGGCCTGAGCAGATTTCCAGAGCTCGCGACACCAGCATAAGTGGTGCTGAACAGATGGGACAGTGCACTCACCCTTAACAGAAGGTAACAAAGGCAACTGATACCCCAGTGACGACTCAAAAGATGAGAGGCCAGTGTCAGAAGATGTCAGGGATATGTGCGGGCACTATGTCAAGGCCAGTTGGTGCTCCAGGTGGACAGGTTGGAATAGATATCACAGATGTGAGGGCCGGCTCACTCTTAGTTAGGTCCAGTTGTCAGGATCTGTGGGGCGCAGATTGTGTTTAGCAAAACAGGACCCAAATGCACATGTAGAGATGGGATCTTAACAAAGGGCGAATTGTTTATTAATGCTGATTAATAACTATTCAAAATACAAACAAAATGCAAAAAAGGGAATTAAGACTGACATTAGCAAAACACAAGAGTAGGACAACACTATAGGAACTAGAACAATAGAACCTGGGAAAGACACGAAGGGAGGTCAGCTGACGTTCCTGTGAGAGACAAAAAGGAACTCACACAATGGTCGTGTCCAGATTCATGGGCTGCATCCTCCTGAGGACCCGGCCTTCGCGGTCTACGTGGGCTGGGTCCTCAGAAGGTCGGGTATGCCAGAAATAAACGGCTGGGCAAATGGGACGGTCTCGCCTTCTCATTAGCGTCACCGCTGTGTTGGTGGAGTTTAATAAACTCGGCCGTCTGCTCCTTGCTGTCTAAAATATAACAGGACACTGGAGTAAACTCTCGACTGTCTCACACTTCTGTTTAATCAGTTTTCTGTTTGACGTTTATTCAGCTGTGTGAAAACCACCCGGGGGATTAATAAAGTTTTATTTTATCTAATCTAATAACTTTAATCTCAGACAAACCGATTTACTCACGAACAAACAAAACACTGAAAAAACAACAATAACATTTTTAGGTTGTCTAAGTGACTTATATATTACGTTTAACCTGAGTACCGAAACTCCGCAGTGATCTGAAAATGATGTGCCGGGAGTTGTGTCCTCAGTGACCCTCGAGCTCCCGGCTAGATGTCGAGCTGGTGGGTAGCAGATGCTCCGAAAACGTCGAAGCACTTTTGCAAATATGTGATATCTTGACAAACCGAGCAGATATTTGAGGTTTACACAGCTACTTTCTCTGAAAATATGTTAAAAGTTTATTTTGTGACCCAGAAAGATTAGTAAGAGTAATTTTAAAACTTAGTAGCGGCCGTCATTATTGGAAACTGGAGTTTGGCTGGGCCGCGCTATGAATTCTGGGATATGGTAGGCCACGAAGGACACACCCGACCCATCCTTCAAATTCGGGAAAAAGGAGGACGCATTTGTCGGCTGCATTCGGAGGAGTCTACGAATTTGGACAGCCTTCGGCGCGTCGCTGTGACGTAATCGGTCTACAAATGCGGCCTCAGGAGGAAGCAGCCCATGAATTTGGACACGACCAATAACTACACAGACAGGTGATGAGCAGACTGGAGACAGCAGGGGACAGGAGAAGCAAAACTAAACACAAAGCACATGAGACAAAGACTATCAAAATAAGACAGGAAATACAATAAACACAGAAAGAGACCCAGACTCAAAACACAAAGCTGACACTGGAAGCAAATACCACGACCCAGAGACAGACAGCATGAGAGCGAAGGGAACCAAACATGGGGACGCTGTACACAGAACATAGAGACAAAACTATGACAGACTGGACATAACAACAAGACTAAGTAAGAAAAATACTAAAACAAAGAGAAGGCTAAAGCTCAAGAGAAGCGTATTAAAGAAAGCTAAAATATCTAAAGTTGTCTAAATTACCCTAGAGATACATAAAATAAATACAAGTCATAATTCAATTCAATTCAATTTTATTTATATAGCGCCAAATCACAACAAAAGTCGCCTCAAGGCGCTTCATACATACAGAGAAAAACCAACAATCATATGACCCCCTATGAGCAGCACTTTGGCGACAGTGGGAAGGAAAAACTCCCTTTTAACAGGAAGAA